CCTTTAATAGTGCGAGGCTTTTGGGAAAAACCGTGTGAGTTTGGCCCAAAACGGACAATGTCACACCATGAGTTAAAAGTATATTTGGGATTTAGCCCAACAATTGATATCAGAGCTCTGATTATTTATCCGAATTTTTACGGAATGAAGGCGAATATGAGCAAGATGGTATATTTAAATGAGAGCAATTATAGTGTTTGGAGAAGCAAGATAAAAGATTTGTTGTTCATGAAGAAGATGCATCTACCAGTTTTTGCAGCTCAAAAACCCAAAACTATATCTGAAGAAGATTGTGATTTCGAGCACCAGCAAGTATGTGGATATATACGAAAATGGATTGAAGATAATATTCGCAACCATATTGTAAATGAGACACGTACGAAATCATTGTGAAAAAGCTAGAGACTCTTTATGCTTCAAAACCCAGGAGCAACAAGTTATTTCTACTAAAGCAATTGATGACATTTAAATACAAAGAGGGCAGTCCTATTCTTGATCATATAAATAATTTTCAGGCTGTCCTTGATCAGCTGTGTAGAATGGGAGTTAATTTTGATGATGAGATACAAGGACTTTGGCTTCTTAATACTATGCCAGACTTTTGGGAAACTCTTCGTATTTATTTGACGAATTCAGTCCCCTGAGGTAAGGTGACCATGGACTATGTCAAGAGTGTTATGTTGAACGAGGAAATAAGGAGAAAATCTTCGTCCTCACAAGCAGACATCTTGGTTACAGAAGACCGAGGGAGAGATAGAACAAGAGATTCGAGGAATAGAGATAAAAGTGGAAGTAAGGTCCAAATACCATAATATCACGTGCAACCACTGTGATCAGAAAGGACATATTTATCATAATTGGGTTTTTCTTCTTGTTGAAAGAAATTATAAATCTCTCATATTTGGCTAGTCCCTTTTCTTATAAGAAAAGGTTTGGACTTCTATAAATTGAGGATCCTTTCTTCTCATTTAGTAGCATCCACAATGTAATCATATGGGCTTTGAGAGTCTTGTTTAGGGGGAGAATTTCGGGACAAGTGTTAGTCTGCCATTTTCGTGAGGTTGTTCTCTCTATATTTTGTACTCTCTTTTTATATAGTGATGGATTGCTCATCCCCGATGTAGATGTAGGCCAATTGACCGAACCACATTAAATATTTGTGTCTCTTTTGGTATATTTCTCTTTTATTGTCTGATTTATCGTTGTTCAAGATTTGTTTTACTAGCTTCCGCATGTCATGTGATTATTTAGATCCTAACTCAATTTAACATCAACTCTCAATCTTTTGTTTCCCTAATTTTTCTTTTTTGTAATGATGGTAGAAGGAGAGAGCAATTGGGTTCTAGACTTCTCTTCATGAACTAAGATTTTGACCCACTTCTTTATTTTTCGCGAGAGAGGCATTTTGTCCAAATCGAATAAAAGGATATATTTCATGCATCCGAGGAGTATTTTTCAGTTGTTTTGGAACTAGAAAGTGTAGTAGTTTTTTTTAATTATACAACATCAATAATTAGAGGCGACGCCATAATTTGAAACTTAATTATAAGTTAAAATTTTAATCTTTTTTAGTTATTACATTCTAAATTAATACATATTTAATATATTTTTAAAAATAAATTCAAAACTTATATCAAAACCATTGAGTTTGGTCGAACTCATAGCTATGGAGAGCTAGATCCGCCAATAACAAGACAATTTGAATGTGAAATTTGGATGGGACAATTATCACCCCTAATGTTGTTGGATAATGATGAAGTCATTACATGTCATTTCCATCTTTCGTGGCAACCGACATATTGTTATTGTTTGTACATGTGAACATCATTTTCCCCTTTGGTATTACAGTGTGTTTACATTCAAAGGAATCCCATCAATATGACAAAGCTAGCCGGGCCATGCATATCTTCAATTCCACGAGCAAGCTTCAACTGAACATTTGAGTTTTCATTGTACTATATTTTCCAAATTAAGTCAATATAAACTTTGTATTAATTCGAAGCACATGGCCAATAATTGGCCATGACCAACCATAGGTGGAACCAAGATTTAATGTTTATTAGTTCATACAACAACTTCAATAAATTTGTAATAGTAACTGGATTCACGTTCAAATATTTATATATTTAGTGAATTTTTCGCATATATATTATTTGGACAAAAATTATTAGGTTAACGTGAATCTGTATGTTGCGTGGAGGATCCGCCCTCGTAGCCAAGTACAGAAAAAATTTATGGCTTCTCGCTTAGCACGCTTTGTTTCCTTACTAGACGACATCTTGCGTGACAAATGAACAGTATTCTTTTCTTTGTTTAGGTTTTCTTGTCACATGGACTTACTTAGTGAAAACGAAGAAAAGAGTCCGAGTTTCAGAAAAGTGAAGAAAAAAAACTTCAGGAAAAGGAATGTATCTCATTTGTTTGATTGAAAAGAAAAATAACTTTGAACTTCGAATCAAGGATATAAATGATGTGTATCTTCTCCCAAACGGATTTAATTTATGTATGCACAGAATTTTTACATGGTCGATCAGTGTGTTTTAAATTGTTATAACATGTAACTTGTCGTACTTTTTAAATTACTTTAATTCACTTTTATGAACAAGTTAACCATTTGAAATTATTTGAGAGTTATAGCAGAAGCTGTTTCTCTCTTTCTTCACTGAACAAAATACTGTAACATCATAAATGAAAACTCACCGACATATTTTAAATTTTAATACTGAAAGGTAATTAGCTTTGCCTTTCTATTTTTTTTAAATTTTTTTTACTTAAAACTCTTTTATCAACTAAACAATTATATCAAGTGCCAGGATGATGTTAGGACCCACATCCTTACTATTATGTTTATTAATTTAATATAAATATGGGATGCTAATAAATATATATTAAAGAATGGAGAGAATATTATAAGGGTGTGGAGGAGTTTTGCAAAGTTATCTGGAGTAGGAATCAATCATATAATAAAGCCGCTAAAGGCGAAATAGGTCTCTATTCCTATCCTTAAAATTGATTTGATGTTTTAGGCACGTTTTCTCCTACAGTATTGGGATAGTTTCCGAAATTATGTACGAGAAAATCTATCGAGAAATAGCAAAGATTTATTTCGTAAGACTCGTGAATATTCAAAGATTACGATCTCAGCGGTACGATTCTTCCTGATTTTCTCAATCGAATCGGATTTTGATCGTCTAGGGATTTGGACTGCCTTTTTCTTTTTTTCTTTAAATAGGACGAATATGTTCATATATTTGACCCAAAATAATTCCTTGTTTTTTCCCTCAAATAAGTCCCTTGTTCTTATTTAACAGATGAGTTAATTCAATACTACAATTTAAGTCAGTTTTTATATAAATCCAAGCGATGATACAGATGATGAACCAACGTATTATAGTATATATTTTTTCTTTTATTAACAAGCAAGGAAATATCACAAATATATTTTTTGATCGTTAGAAATATCACAAAGATATATCAAAAGTAGACCAAATAATACAACAAAATACCACGAATCCTTGCTGATATCTTGGAATTCCTAAAGATATTCTAAACTTTCCCTACATATTGTTTATATTGCAGTATCAAGAAATACAATTTATATAAAGTCAGTTTATATACAAATTTAATACAATTTATACATTTGTATCATGTCATATATAGGGAAATGGAACTGTAAAGCAGTTATATATAAAGTTTGGCATCTTTGTTTTTCTTTTTTGGTCCTTGTAATATACTATATAGTTAGTATATTCTTAATCATTGTTTTTAATTAGCTCATTTATCGAACTGTAAAACAATTTATTATTTAAATTAAAAAAAATAAAAAAAAAAGCTACCTAAAATTCTCATTTAGCTATGACGCATTACTCATGTGACTTCCTTTCGGCCCTATTTTGTGGGAAAACAAATTGCATGTTGTTAGTTTCATCATCACACATTAGATGAGTTTGATATTACTATTACCTATAGGATAACATTTGAAGTTGAATATGTTCAAATTGATACTTTTAAGAACAAATCCATTATAAGCCAAAATCACAAGGATTAGAGTGAAAAGAAACAGTAGAATTTATCAGTTTAGTTTAACATGTGATAGCATGTTAATTAATTACCATCTCGCCAAGTTTTTAAGTTATGTTTTTACTAGTAATTGATACTCCCTCCTTATCAAATTATCTGTCGTGATTTTAAAAAATAGTTGTCTTAAATTATTTGTCATTTTAGAAGTTCAAGATAAATTTTTTTTTATTTTACCCTTAATAGTAATTGTTCTTGAAGATGGATAATACATAAATAACATAAATATTTAATGAAGAAAAATTATATTTTAAGACATAAATAAGGGTAAAAGAATCCAAAATCCTTTCTAATTAATGTTTTCTTAAAAAACGTGTAAAAAAAGGACAAATAATTTGAGATGGAGGGACTAATACAAGTATTTTTTTCCACCGTCCAATGCATAAAAAAGATCGAATGGAAAAGCACCATGAACAAATAGTTCTAGTAGTCACTACCGAATACAGGAAAAAAAATAAAAAATCAGCATTTTGAAATATATACATTCAAAATTTGAATGAGAAAGCGCCATGAACAAAATCCCGAAGAAAGTATACGTATTAATTAGACGTACTAAATGTATCTGAATTAAAATGGTGAATTATTTACTCCTTATTTCGAGTGTGTGTGACAACACATCTGCTAAAGCTAGTTGTATTAGGAGAAAATTTTGTTGTAAAAGATCCTAACAATGCAAGCAGCAAGATTTGGTCCTCATTTATTAAGATTTAGCAAGATACTGTATCCATTTTTTCAAATTCCTCTCTATTTTGCCTGCTGATACTTTGGATCCTATCTTATATTCTGACCATATCAAATAAACATAAACTTACCCTTTAATTAGTTACCCCAAAAATAAAAATAAAAAATCTTGTTTTTTAAATTAAAAAGAAAAGAGAAAAAGCTGTGGAAACAGTAGTAGATACTGATACTGTTGTTTTGATACAATATGTACATCGAATCAAGAGAAGCAAAATTTGAGATCACAAAACATCTGTGACCACTTCTTGATTTTATTTTTTGGCTGATTCCTTCCCTTAAACATACCCCTAACCCCACCTTCTTCAAAATCTTTTTCTTCAGAAATTCCAAGTATCTTTCTTTTCCTTTAAATACCCACAAACCACATTGCTTTTTCTTTACACTTTGATTCTTGATTCTTCTCTTCTTTCTTGCATCTTCTTCTACCTTCTTTTATTATCCTTATTGTCAATTATTATCCTTATTGTCAAGTGAAAAGAATGGATTTTTATGCATCTTCTTCAACAGTTTCATCTGAGGAACCCCATGTTCTAGCTGTGGATGACAATCTTGTTGATCGTAAACTTGTCGAGAGATTACTCAAGAAATCCTCTTGCAAAGGTAATCTCACTTTCTTACATCCTTTGATTTTGTAGTTAACTTACAATGACTGGATAATGTATGTATTTCGGTTTCTCTTTATCAAATAAGAAAAATGTAGTATTTGTTTCAATTTGATTATCTTATTCTCTATCCATATATAAAATCTTGAAAGTTTCTCAAGCGCTGCATTATTAAAATTAAATTCCTCCATCTGAATCAGTGGGTGCAAAAGTACTACTATTAACACTAGCAGTTTTTAAGATTTCCATATGTTGAGTTGGCATCATTATCACATAATAGTAGTAGGTGCAATGTAATTCAAGACCCATTGATTTAAGTTTTGGATCTTCTCAGGACATTTTCTCCCCCTCTAATTCCTTCCATGGCAGTTAAAAAAATTCGGTATTTAATTTTTTTAGCCGGTATACATAGGTTATATATAAATTATACATATATTGTATATCCACCGGCTATTTTTAATTTAAAAAAAAAATTTGGGAGGGGGTAAACGTGTATGAAAAGTAAAATGACACCATCTTATTAGACTTTTAGGTCAACCTTTTAAATATGCCAACCTTTATGAATACGTGATCACACTGATTCTTTTGTGTTTGGATCATATCTTTCCGAATCCTTTGATGTGGACTTTTAGACTCAAATTTATGTCATTCTCATTATTTTCCTTTTTCCAGAAATAGGAAAATACACCTGGATAGCATAATTTATGATAATAAATATTGGATGTAGCAAAAGAATAAGGGTCCTAGCTAGCTCTGGTATGGCCAGAAATTAATACCATGCCTCAGAGTTGTTTCATCTGTACCTAGTAAAGATAATTTTATCTACTCTAATTCATTTGTAAAATTTTTAATTGGTTTTCAGGTGGGAGCATTTTCTCCCCTTAATAGCCTATCCAGTGTGAATCATAATAATCGGGCCAATAAGCTCGAGATATCTGATATGATTAAATTTTTTGTTTTTGGAACCCAATACAGCCTTAATTGATTAATTAGATGAATATAATGAATCTTTAGTTTCTAAAAATTGTTTGTACTTTGCTTCAGTGACTACAGCAGAAAATGGTCTGAGGGCCTTGGAGTACTTGGGTTTGGGAGCTGATCAGGAGCATTCTACAAATGGCAATGTAATTATAATTGTCGATTTTATATTTGCTTTTACTTTCTCCAAGGGATGGTACTAATGTTTATATTCTTTTTCTATTTCCTTTTCTTTTTATGGGTTTATTTCTGCAGGGTTCAAAGGTTAATATGATAATAACAGATTACTGCATGCCAGGAATGACTGGTTATGAGCTGCTTAAGAAAATCAAGGTAGTCTTCATTTAATAATTCAACATTCATTGAACATTACTGTTTTAATCATCGTTAATTAGTTTTTTTTTCGGTTAAGAGGTGTTTTTGGCACAAATTAATTACTTGAAAATACAAGCAGGAATCGTCGATTTTGAAGGATGTACCAGTTGTGATTATGTCATCTGAGAACATTCCAACTCGAATTGATGAGTAAGTTATCAATTGCTACTATTTAATTACCTCAAAATATTGAAATTTTGAACTCTGTCACCTGTTACTAATCGAAATAAATGAATAGATGCTTAGAAGAAGGAGCTCAGATGTTCATGCTAAAGCCTCTGAAACATTCAGATGTCAAGAGATTACGATGTCAACTAATGCAATGCCAAGGATGAAGTGATCCTTATTACTATTTGAAAAAATAAGCAGAGAATTGTTTTGCATATGAGGAATGATTATGAGAGTTCTCAGATTGATATAAAGTTTAATTGCAGTATAATGACATACACAGAACTAATGTGTTGGCATTTGGTATCATTTCTAAGTTAGTTAAAGGCTTATAGCATCAAGGGATGCATATTCCCTTTTTGTCCACCTTAGTCTGACTTTTCTAATTTCCTTTTCTAAATTCTTGATTGTTGTTTATCAGAATTGTCAATACTAATGCCTGGAATCTTCTTCTTCTGAATTTCATCAGCATTTTAAACACCATTTCTTTGTTATTTATAGCATTAGTGTAAACTTTTTGTTTTGTTTTGTAGATAAACAATTCACCTTTGTAATTTAGTCAAGCCCTTTAAAGGCCCAAGGGACAAAAATGATTGCAAAAAGAAGATAAAAGGAGGAACTGTGAGGAATGGTGTTAAAACCACATATTTGTATGGCCAAAGACAAAACTAATATACCTTGACTACATAAAATAAGGGGTCGTTTGGTACATAAGGTTGACCAAAACTTACTTCCCCCCTCATGGAGCATGCCTAGATTCAATAACAGGCTCAAACGCCTCTCAATCCAATCCGAAACGCGTCCGAAACTCACCCAAATCTTTGGGGCTCCAAACCAAATATCCATACAAGTCTAACAACATCATACGAATCGGACATTAAAACGCATGAATTTCAAAGGAAAACTCAAGAACCTTTAGAATTGCAACCAAGCATATAAATCCTATCAAACCGATTCCAAATGATACCAAATTTTGCAGACAAGTTTCAAATAGCAAAACGAACCTATTCCAAGTCCCAAAACCAAATTCTTAACCCGATAGCCAAAAAATTAACCTACTGTCAAACTTAGGGAAACTTCTAAAACCTTCGGCAAAACAAGTCAAATCAACCTAGGGACCTCCGAATTCAATTCCGAGCATACGCCCAAGTCCAAAATCACGATACGAACCTATAAGAGCCATCAAAATACCGTTCCGGGATCGTTTTCACAAAAGTCAAACTTGGGAGTACCGGGGGTTATGAGACCGCACTAGTTTTATAGGGTACACTTCAGCATTAACTTGTACCCCAAAGAGAGTTATTATCATGGCCTACGAGATCATGGCAGTTATGACTTATATCATTTCATTACACATTGTGTCACCTAAAGAAAAATGTCTGCAAGGACCCAAACTCAAGACCTAAAGGCTATTATAATATGTACCGCTCATATGCTAAGCATGCTGTGAGCTAAATGTGTCAGCGTGTAGCAACATGGTGCATGTCGAGACAATCCATCCAAATCTTCTAAGATTCTAAGAAACTTCGAAACGGACATTTACTGCTGTCTCCGAGAGAAAATGCTACTATAGGCATGCCAACATCCTTGAGAGTTGAGACAATCTAGAAATGCGGCAACTTTGCCATGCAATTCTCCATGATGATCCTATAACACCTTGTATAATTCAATAGTAGTTCCAAATCATTTGCACCGTGCTTAAGTAACAGTCATATTGCAAAAGTATCAAGGTGAAAGATATGAATGGCAGGTTTACTTTGCACGCAAGGGTTTTAAAACCTCAGAAGGAACTTTTCTGTTCACTAACATCAATAAAAAACTAACAGATTTCCACTGTTTTCTTCCATTAACTATTCAGGAGCAAAGTTTACTTTTTAAGTTCACAGGCATGCATTTCATGTAATCTCAGTAATTATCTCAAAGCCAAGTCTGATTAACTAACAATACTGAGCAGTACATATCCAAAAAATAAAATGCTTGTCAGCGGCGAAGAATTACTTATTTCCTCACACTATACATGAAGAAGATTGATTTTACCTTTAGAGGAGTTGAGACTAAAAGTAGGCTGATTAGATCCAAAGTAACTGATATTTAAAAAAAAAAAAAATAAAAAAAAAAAATGCTCCGGCTAATCTTCCTTCTGTGACCGTGTCTTTCATTTCCATATTATCAACAAAATGTGTCATACGTGTGAGTGGGCTTAACCCAAATGAAATAAATCAGCAAGACTTGGACAGTGTTGGGCCGCCAACAAACTTTGTTAGACGAAGTGGTCGGGTCAAAAGGCCCTCTCAGAAACTAACTGACTTTATCTGGAAAAGCNGGACAATATCAGTATCACAACAACAATCATAGGATAAATAGAAACACCATGAAATCCAGAAGACAGATGCAAAGCAAAAGGAGATAATATTAGTAAATATTAGTATCAGCACAAGAATACACCAAAAAGTAATAAATTAGGAATAAATAAAGACATTATGTAAAAGTCCACGTTGCATCCTTGATACTTGCCTACTTCAAAGGAGTAGAAGGGATAAGTTATAATCTTTTGCTTGTCAAATGTAACTGGTAAAGCATCAACGTGACGCTCGTTGGCTAATAGGGGAAACACAACACACATTTAGCATCATTTAATTATACTCACATGCAAAGAGCGTGAAGGGACATCTCTACCAAAAATAAAATAACAAAGGATGTGTTCTGACCTGTTTTTGAAACAAAAGAAGAGCCCCTAAGAGAAATATTTTGTTGCTGAAACTCAGTTGCAGCTGGAGTAACGCCAGGAAAAGCAACATTCTCAGAAAGACTACTCCTTTTTGGCTCTTGTCTTTTTGTTCGTTGTTGCAGTAATAGTGCTTCTTTTTTTTCACAGATATTAGTTTGTACGTTTCATGTCGCCTAAATTTCATCTCAAATATGAAGCGAAGAGGCGTTTGAAGAAGAAGGCTTTGCAAATAAAGCTTTTTATATAAAATAATAATAATAATATTATAAAATGAAACGGTAAGTTTGAACACAAATTTAAAATAGTGGACCACAAGTCCACAACTTTCTCGAACAAAACTTTGTTGAGCAAAGTGAAGACAAGTAAACAACGAGTGCATTGTGCACTAATAGTTATGCCACTATATTATATTTTATACTTTGTTAACAACGTGACTAACTGACTTTGTCTAGCAAAGTGAAGATAACGTGTGCACTAATAGCACTATACCATTATATTATATTTTTATACTTTGTTCTTCAATTAATCACACTCCATATTTTGGTTATATCTAAATTGATGGTTTAGATTTATTTTCTGAGTTGAAAGTATTAAGAAAAATAGTACAAGTAGAAGATAATAGTTTAATCGATATACTCAATCAAATAAAGAGACTTATTCTTTTCCAAATGTCTATATTGCTTATAGAATAATGTTAACAATTCCAGTTACCGTTGCTTCAGCGGAAAGAAGCTTTTCAAAATTAAAATTGATAAAATCTTACTTAAGATCAACAATGTCTCAAGAGAGATTAAATGGGTTAGCTATATTGTCAATTGAGAAAGACTTATTACGAGAAATTGACTATAAGAAAATTATTAGTAACTTTGCATCTAAAAAAGATGCAAAAAATTGACTTCAAATAATATAAAAAAAATTAAAATATTAAGGCCCCTCATTAAAATTTGGCTTTAGGCCCCAAAATACGTCGGATCGCCCCTGCGTGGGGAACTAGGTATTTAGTGAGCAGTGGATATTGGAATTGGGTAGAAAAAAGTTTAAAGTTTGAAGTAATTTTCATGTTCTCTTCTATCCTCTCTGTAATTCTTTTTAACTTCTTAACTTCCTCTCCTCTTTTCTCTTTCTGAATCTTTCTCAGTTCTAGTACTATTATTGTAATAGTTGTTTGTCAGTTTGTGAATTAAATATAGACTTTCCTGTTATTACATTGTTATAATTTATTACTCTCTCCGTGTGAACTTATTTGACTGGGCACGGAATTTAAGAAAAGAAAGAAGACTTTTAAACTTGTGGTGTAAAATAAGTCACATATATTTTGTTTGGCTATAAATTATTGAATAAACCTAAATTGTTTCCAAATATATAAAGATGTCATTCTTTTTGACACAGACTAAAAAGAAAATAGGTTCACATAAATTGAAACGGATGCAGTATTAAATTGGGTTATAACATTTTGGTGCTTTCATTGATTTGTCCGCGATGCCGGACTTGAAAAACAAAGGTTCTGATGAGCCGTTGATGGAGATATGCGAAACACAATCTGGATTTTCACGCGACCTTGCTGATTTTCGAACAGCTATGGGCTATGGCGCAAAATCAAAAAGTCATGCAAGATATCTTGTCTCAAATGGCCGCTTTCTCTTTGCAACAGCGTTCAACCGGACTTGAACCTTCATACCATCGTAGTCCTGAACCATCGCTACGCCAATCATCACACGGGGTGTCCTATCCTACTTTACGCCATAAACCAGCACCAGTGGAGTTTGGCCGTTTTAATGGTGATAATGCAGATGCCTGGGTCTTCCAAGCAGAGAGGTATTTCGAATTTTATTCCATTAGTGATTCTAATAAGTTAAGCCTTGCTTCATTTTATCTGGATGGAGAGGCTTTAGATTGGTATCAGTGGCTTTATAGAAACAAGCAATTGATCGACTGGGACCACTTTGCGGGAAAACTTCTTTGCCGGTTCAAACAACGCTCCTTATAGAAACTAGAGGGTCGTTTGGCAAAACTACGTCAATCGACCATTGTCGCTGACTATTTAGCCAAATTTGAAGTTATTTCTAGCGAAACGGTGGCCCTGACGGATCACTTTTTGATCCAATGTTTTATTTCTGGGTTGAGGACAGATATTCAGACTGATGTTTTGGTACATGAACCAACTACTCTGGAGCAGGCTATTTCTCTGGCCCATAAGTATGAGCAAAAATATTTGGTTGCCAAGGGAAACAACCCAAAATTTCCTTACTCCAAACAACCTCCTCTTTTACCTACTCCTTCAGCTTCTAACCCGCCATTACTGCCAACTCCTCCTTCCACATTAGCTTTACAACCACCACCTTCTTCCTCCACGTCGACCACTAAAATTCCACTGAAACGCTTAACCCCGGCAGAAATTCAACAACGGCGTGAAAAAGGCTTGTGCTATTATTGTGATGAGAAATACTCAGCCTCTCACAAATGCAAAACATTTCCTCAATTATTACTTCTGGAGGATGACTCCAATGACCGAGTTCCTGAATCTTTTATCCCTGACGATGTGTTGGCAGAAGAATTGCAGTCTCTTGAGGTGCAATCTCATTCTGCAATTTCATACCATGCTCTATCAGGTGGCAATTCTCCGACTACATTGCTTTTTACTGGACATGTTAATGGATCTCCAGTACAGGTTCTGTTGGACCGGGGGAGTACCAATGATTTTTTTCAGCCTCGAGTTGCAAAGTTTTTGAACC